ACGCAACTTTCGACCAGCAAGAATTATGCGCTTTTGTTATGTGTTATTGCTGCTTCAGGTGGTTGGAGAAGGTCGCTGTGCAGTTGTGGATACTTACTGGCAAACTGAGACCGGCGGACATACAATTGCGCCATTACCTGCAGCAATCCCATGCAAACCTGGCAGTGCAACACTTCCATTCTTTGGGATAGTGCCAGTGATCGTTGATGGAAATGGTCAGGAAATCGAAGGTGTTGGCGAAGGTAGCCTGGTCAGTGCTTTTTCTTTTTTTGCAAAGAATTAGGCACAGTTGTTAAAAAATACCTGTACTTGGAACACCTGGATCAGCTGTAGTTCATAGTCTGGTTTCCTAACTATGCAACGCAACTTTCCAGATGCCTTGACCAACGCTACATCGCGCAGTGGTCAGCCTGCAGGCGATCCTGATGTTCGTTTCGCCTTCTGCAATGTTTATTTACTCTTTTTTTTTGCTTTTCTTTTTGTGAAAAGTATGTGATGCTGAAGCGTTTTCAGTGTTTCAAGCGTGCTTGGCCAGGCATAAGCAGAAGCGTATTTGGTGATCATAATCGGTATGTGAAAACTTATTTCGCCCCCTTCCCTGGTCTCTTTTTCACCGGTGATGGTGCGAGACGGGATGCCGATGGTTACCTTTGGATTACAGGTGAGATTTTTTTTTGTTTCAAATTCAACTCTGTCTGTTAAAAAGCACTTCATAAAACTGCTTATTCGCTTTCATAGAAACGAAAGCTTAGAGGCGGGAAAGCGTACTTACATTTATGACTGGTGGTTCTTTTTTGCGTTGTGATATTTGTTGGGTTGTGTTGCAGGGCGTGTCGATGATCTCATGAATGTTTCGGGTCACTTGTTGTCCACTGCTGAAATTGAGTCTGCGCTGGTTGCTGACGATGATGTTGTTGAGGCAGCCGTAGTCGCTGCACCGCATGACATCAAAGGCAGCTTCCCGTATGCGTTCGTCACTTTGCGGATGGTTAGATTTATAGCCTTTCTCTTGCACAGAAAATTGAAAATACCCTTTTAGCTTACTACCATAGACAAGAAAGAAATTAAATTTTAATTTATCTGATAAGAAATGACTTTCAAAAATGCCTTAAAATATGTGAACCCAGAAAAGCAACGGAGCATTGGAAAACGGGGCTTCTTTGAATTCGCATAGCCACATTACGCCAGAGTTCCGTCGATGTGATAGAAAACAGCAGTTTCTTTCATTATTTCATCCCTATTAACATTATTTTTCATTATGCTGTAGCATTTTGTTTAGCAGTTTCTCACACATATTTTTATAGGCCTGTTTTCAAGCTGTTTTTCGTAGTGTGATATCCTTTTAGGGAGTGAAGCTCACGGAGAAAAAAGTTGAAGAACTGAAGCTTTCAGTACGACGAAAGATCGGTGCGATTGCCGTTCCGGACGTGATACAGGTAGCGCCAGGCTTACCAAAAACCCGTTCAGGTGAATCATATCATTGATTTTTTTTTGCTTTCCTTGCTGTTTTTTTTCGGATTGTCAAGCACATTCTGCTAACACAAATTTCTGTAGTGTGGTGTCGAGTTAACATATATGCTGTGTTATAGACTCGGTTTAGGTCTTCGGCTGGCATTCCACTGGCTTTTTATTAGAGTTACGAACTAGTGAATTGGTTATTCATCAGTTTGTGATTCTGGTGAAACGCACTTTTATCCTATCTGATATGTGAGGGACTTGAATAGCTTTTAGCATATTTTAGCCACTTTTTAACAGTGTGATTCACAACATTTCAAACGATCTTCGGTACGGAAGCTTGCGGTTTGCCTTTGCGCTGCGAGCTTGCCTTAAGATGAATGTCGAAGTGAGAAAAAAAGAGGCTGTTAAGAAATTAAATTGATGAATTTCTAAATAGCATCTAATTTAAGGAAAAGTAACACGTCGCATTTTACGAAAAGTGGCTGAAGGCGATCGCGCGGCAGATCTTGGTGACATCACAACTCTTGTCGACGAATCGGTGATAATTCATCTGTGGAGCGGACGAGCTGAAACACGTACTGGTTGAGCCATCAGCACTGGCAGCAGCAGCGGTCTAACCATTTTGACATTTCCTACAGTGAATTCATTCTACTAGTTTATTTGAAAATTCCTCATTCCTTGAATGATTGATAATTAAATTCCATGACTGGATAGTACATTCCTTTGTTACATCGTACTCTTCTTCATCTCTTACTCTCCATAACACTGTGATACTTGGCTTTAAGCTGTAACAGTAATTATGTATCTCTTTGAAGTCCCTTGATTGTCGAAGCAATAGATTGTCTGTGTTAAGCAATTCCTTTATGTGGTAATTCCTTGTAATACTTGATGAAACAGATAAATTATTTAGTTTGTGCCACTACGGCGGGTCTGAAAAAGGAAAACTGCAAGGCGTGAAATGTCGGAAACTGTAAGGGTTTTGGAGGATATTGCGCAGGCGAGCTCGTGGACAACAAATAGTGACCGGCAAAAAAGCGGACGTCGTTTAAAAAGTCGTTGAGTCCCAGCAAGCCAAACGGATGACTGCATGCATTGTGGTCACTATATTTCATTAAAAAATCAGGATTTGAGATTATGGTTTAGGACGTGACGTTTCTGGGAATTTAGGTTATTGCGCTATTGTGGGCGGCCTGAAATCCCGTGTTCCATGTTCGTCACTCGCTTGCACTGTCCTAAAATTATGAAAATAGGGTAACCACAGCTGAGGCTATGGTAGAGCCCGGGAACTGGTTTCGGATTTGTGTATTGCTGATCAGTAGTCTCAGTGGGTACAAATAGAACAGCTGTCCAACACACTTCGCCAAAAAGCCTTTGGCATTACGTGGGATATTGGAAGGCTTGGATCAATGACGGGAGCTTAAATTTCATCTTTGCAGCTGAAGATACACAAACACGCGCACATATACATATGTATGCATATACAGGAGAATTCGTATACATGTATTAATTGCCAAATGGCAAATGCTGTCCAAAATTATGTATGGGACGGGTTTCGTCAAGTATTCTACAAAATTCAGATAATATACTTGTGTGATGCTCAAATAGTATATTAAAATATTCAGGCCTTTTCTAGTAGAGTTTTTTGCCGCACCTACATTACATTTTTACACTATTTATGCTGTGGGAGTATAAAATCCGAAAAATTCGAATTTTATCCAGATGTTGGACAAGTATTGTTTTAGAGCCTCACCCGCAGGAAAGATGAGCAGAGACCATCTTACCGCGACCGCAACGCAGTGCAGCTCTGCGACTGTACTATCAAAGACACTGTACTGATGTACTGATGTACTGATAATCAGTGTGAGTTTTGTTAAGCAGTGGAGTGCCTTTGGTTTTTCTAATAAGAAGGAAAGGAGAGGGGGAGGGTTTTCCGTTTTTTTTTCTGATTTTTTACTGGAAGGAGGGTGGAAGGGGATTTTACGAAAATAACGGGAGGGAGAAGTTTGGTTAGCAAGTGAACTAAGGGGGTGGAAGGGCACGTTTTAATAATTTGGAAAAGGTCCATAGAGCATTTACAGTCGGAGTGCATTTTAATGATTGGAATAAGGGCTAGGGATGAGCAAAGACAGCTCTTTTCCACTTTTTTATGCGTTTTTGCTGTGCAGCTACAGTAAGCAGTAAATAGCAACGCGCACTAGACTAGCCGGTGCGATCATGCGTTTTGTGCAATTCAGCCTATCAAACCCTATTGATGACTTTCACTGCTTCGTACTTTTGTCTATGCAAAAATAGTTCAAACATTAGAAAATAATTAAAAATTTCACGCACCAGCGC